TTATAAAGTAATTTACAATGCAGACATGGTCACATCACCGTGAAACTTTGAACATATGTTCATTGTGATGTTAACATAATCCATTATATATTATAACTAACAGTTTTGTCATTGATTTCACGGTTCACTATGCACAGACATACATGTATGATAGTTTGAAATGACAACATTCGCAGGTTAAATATTCAGGTGAAGGTAATGTTCAAATTAATTTTGGTTCATATATCATTGCTAGGTGAACATTAAATTGATGTTGTCATATTGTGCATTTGAATCGGATTCAACTGTTCTCTGAACATAAACAGATAATAATGGCAGCAGATCACGGTTGATTGTCGATACACATTCTTGTAAAAAATATTGAACTGACTAAAATTTCATTCAGTATTTAACCACCGAAATAAAATGCAATCCGTTTGTATTCCATAATTCTATGTGCTACGGAAACATTGTCTATTTATGTTTGAAGTGGATTCGGCAATGCATTTCAATACTGTGTAAATATCTAAGGACATTTTGTTATGGTTATATGATGATCAGAAAAAACACTTTTGGATGTAATTTTCAAAAGCATACCACATAATGCAACATATTTGAAAAGATAATCATTGTAAATACTGTTCTTTATACCAAACCGTTATAACCTATGACTATGCAAAATCTGTGTCGGACTACTCGCGGAAAAATCGAACACGATGAAAGAAGAGAGAAAACAAAACACAAGATATTTATCTGCTAAAAATGTATTTTGTAAACGATATGAAATAATGACATACCGTATCAGCTGAGAATGCAAATTTTAGGAATAGACGATAAAAATTGCAATACCAATTTTTTACTGCAGTAGATATGCATTTTAACTATAAATGTTTCTTCAGTGATGATCGTGGATAAAATATGTGAAAAACCAAAATCTATACAATCTTTGAAGAGCTGATCAAACTTAAAACGACATTAAGTATAACCAAATCCGAATTATTTCTATTTTAATGACGTGTAATTGTTATCGAAGACATGTTCAGGTATAGGATTGACTCAGGAAAATACGCTATTTAATGATTCACTTTTAATTGGCAGGAACTTTATTAACATGTTTTATTGTAAAGGCAGCGTACACCATAATTATTATGGATTCCCGTAAATAGTAACTCATCACACTACTTAAATGCTAAATCATGATAAATATTTTATCTTCGACAATGTTTAAGATAAATATATTTGCAAGATGATATGATAATATGGAGTGCTCCATAAAAATAAAGCATGTGTCGAGGGACTCTAAATATTTTATTTTAATACTTTTGGTACACGTTTTCAGAAATTAAATTTCCAATAACAAAGATAAAAGAGAATAATAACCCTTCCCCCTAGCATGATTTATCTCACAGATTTACCCGAACAATTGATATGAGAATACCATACTGTAAGTGTACTTGTGCAGCACATAAATATAAAGTGTACATACACTTTGATATCCTTATTTATAATTGTAGATACATCCTGTCGTGCAATTGAATATGACTGTGCCATAGATGGATCGTCATCGACAATTACATTTATAATTAAAGGACCTGTTTATTATAGCACAATTAAAGAAGGACCCTACCGGGGGAGCCAGTCCCGAAAATTCAGTAATTTTACTATACATTTAGACCTTCACATTAATAATGTTACCCCGGAAGACGAAGGCATTTATGGATGTCAAATGCATGATTTTGGTCGGATAAATCTGCACGTGGTCAGTAAGTATTTTGTACCTACATGTATTACAATTAGATAGTACTTGAAACATAGTTAACAGGCGTTAAGACAACATAAACATAATAAGTAAAGGTTAAACCCTTTTAACATAGAAAGGCGATTTAAGAACATCAATAATATAGTAAGCATTTGTATGTAAGGACAGCATAAACACATAGTAAGAAGATGTGAGGACAACATACACATGGTAAGATGATGTTGGGACACTAAAAACATTAAATGTAGATGTTAGAACAACAAAAAGGTTGTGACAAGATGGATATAAATACAGCATAAACATAGAAAGATGATGCCAGGACAACATAAACATAGTAAGTAGATAATAGGAAAATATAAACATAGTGAGAAGAATATAGTGAATAGATGTTAGGAAAACATAAACATAGTCAGTAGATGCAAGGACAAAACACAAATAATACGTAGATGTTAGGACAACACAAATGAAAACGTAGATTTAATGACATCATAAACTTAGTGAGTAGATGTTAGGCCAACACAATAGATATAGGAAGATGTGGTATGAGTGCCAATGAGACGACTCTCCATCCAAGTAATAATTTATAAAAGTAAACCATTATAGGTCAAGGTACGGCCTTCAACACGGACAAACACAGTAAACAGATGTTTGGACAACACATTTATGATAAGTAGATGATAGAAAAACACAAACAAGGTAAGTAGATTTTTGGACAACACAAACATCATAAGTAGATGTTAGAATAACACAAACATATTAAGTAAATGTAAAGACAACATTAACATATTTAGAAGAAGCAAGGAAAACATAAAATAGTTAGTAAATGTTAGGACAACATAAATTGACAGTTGATACAAGGACAATATAAACATAGCAAGTAGGTGAACAACACAAACAAGGTAAGTAGAGGTTAAGACAACACTAACATGGTAAGTAGAGGTTAAGACAACATAAACACGGTAAGTAGGTTACCACAGCACAAACATCATAAGTAGAGGTTAGGACAACACAAATAAGGTGAGTAGAGGTTTGGATAACACAAACAGGGTACGTAGAGGTAAGGCCAACACAAACAAGGTAAGTAGAGATTAGGACAACACAAACAAGATACGTTTAGGTTAGAACAACACAAACAAGGTAAGTAGAGGTTAGAACAACACAAACAAGATAAGTAGAGGTTTGAACAACACAAACAAGGTAAGTAGAGGTTAGGACAACACACACAAGGTAAGTAGAGGTTAGAACAACACAAACAAGATAAGTAGAGGTTTGAACAACACAAACAAGGTAAGTAGAGGTTAGGACAACACACACAAGGTAAGTAGAAGTTTGGGCAACCCAAACAAGGTAAGTAGAGGTTCAGATAACATAAGCAAGGTAAGGAAAGGTTAGGGCAACATATACACAGTAAGTAGATGTTAGGACAACACAAACAAGGTAAGTAGATGTTAGGACAACACAAACAAGGTAAGTAGATGTTAGGACAACACAAACAAGGTAAGTAGATGTTAGGACAACACAAACAAGGTAAGTAGATGTTAGGACAACACAAACAAGGTAAGTAGAGGTTAGGACAACACACACAAGGTAAGTAGAGGTTAGGACAACATAAAGACAGTAAGTAGATGTTATGACAACACAAGCATGGTAAGTAGATGTTAGGACAACACAGACATAGTAAGCAGATGTTAGGACAACACACACATAGTAAGTAGATGTAAGAGCAACATAAACACAGTAAATAAATGTTAGAACAACACAGACATAGTAAGCAGATGTAAGAACAACATAAACACAGTAAATTGATGTTAGAACAACACAGACATAGTAAGCAGATGTAAGAACAACATAAACACAGTAAATAGATGTTAGAACAACACAGACATAGTAAGCAGATGTAAGAACAACATAAATACAGTGAATAGATGTTAGAACAACACAGACATAGTAAGCAGATGCTCGAACTTCACACATATACTAAGTAGATGTTTTAAAACATTTTAAACATAGTAAGAAAAAGTAATGACAACATACACACGGTAAGCAGATGTTAGAACAAAAAAGGTAAAAGTAAGGACAACATAAACATAGAAAGTAGTTGTTATGATAACACAGTCATAGTAAGTATAACTTTTATTGATTAATATATAAAAAGAATGTACAACTATGTTTGATAAGATTTTAAGACATTATAAACATATCAAGTAGAAGTTAGAACAATATTAAAGGACTTATTGTTTAATTACAGAATTGTGGTTCACTAATCAATCAAATCTTAAAACAATCGTTGGACAAGAAGGAGAAGCAATGGACATCAAGTGTTCCTCTGACACTAAAAAGTACATAACTGCTTTAAAGATAGTATCAAATGGAATGGTCAAAGCCATTGGGGAGAAACAAACTGTTAGCTTTTCGTTTATACCAGCCAGAACCGACCATCTGACAAAATATCAATGCGTGGACAGTAAACACTCATCAATAATGGTTGAAGTTGAACTAAGTATAATGTGTAAGCATGAAGGAACATGTCAAAGTTCAACCTTTCGGAATCTGACAACAAATCTAAGGTCGATGTATCGTGGTAAATGCATCAAGAACGATTACGAGCTGCCGTATTTATATTTCATAACAATACATAGATATCATTATAAAGAACAATATTACGACTGGGCTGTCCAGATATTCGACTAAGCAACTTTTTCAAGTTAATATCACAATTCCTTTTAATATTAATGATATCCTTCAGAAATATTATTATGAGGTATATTCAACCAGCATAGTCAATCAGATGACGTTTCTTAAAAAGTGTAAAGATCAACCGAAATACTTTAATTATAATTTTTACAGTTTGGAATAATATGAAAACTGATTTTTCCAGTCCTTACATTTTTTTCCAATACTCAATCTTGTCAATCTTGTCAATTGAAAGATTGAATAAATTGTCTTTAACAACAGAGCATTTCTACATCAATTGATATCCTTTATACCCATTTTCTTCGTGTAGAACAGCACATATTCAAAAAATATATACATCAGTAATTATATCATCAAAATGCTGGACTTTTTATCGACAATACATTTGCTGAATTTGGTGGACTGGCATTTGATTAGATTGGTTTTCTAATTGGTATTAATTGTGCACCACTACTGCTTGACTTGTTTTCGTACTCATATCAAGCAGAAATCATAAAAACTCTTTCAAGGACAACACCACAAAAAAAAATCTTGCTTAATTTTTTTTACTTCACTTACAGATATTTCTTTACTTAAATAGCCATATTTTGGCGAGATTTTGGATCACATATATTCCCATTTCTCAGCAACAGCATACCCTCTATTCCATCGTATAGCGTATTGATATCTCAATCATGTTCATATTATACGGACTTCATTAGCATGTGTTTGCTTCTTACACAAACACTCCTTTAATAGTATATTGAAGAAGAACGACTAAAATCGACACTACACACGTTTTACACTCACCATCACGAATTGGTTGACCGATACGATAGGATATACCTGGTAATTTTATGATTTTTCTGATATCATAATATCTAAGACCGCGATTAAATGTGGCTAGTGATTTGCGAAGCAGAAAAAATATCACCGGTTGATCATTTCCGATGATGACCGCAAGAATTGGTGCAAATATCAGTCGTTTCAGTCGTCAAAAGAATTAATTATTACAATGATTTGCAGACTTTACTTAAACCAAGATATATGATGCATTTTGAAACATCTATTTCTAAATCCTTCATTCTTACGCACTAGAATAAGTCGTTAGTTGATGTTTGAAACTTGTCTTATATATCATCTAGTAACAGAAGAAACTAAATTTTCCAACTTTCTAACTTTAATTTACAGATGCTCCCGCAGTTACAGTTCAGTATACGAATGGAACGATAGAATGTGATTGTGATGGAGTTCCACCAATTTATAGTGTGTACCGGTTAGATCAAATATCAAATAATGGGGATGTTGTCCGTTCAGTAAATTTGAATACTGAATCATTCACTTTCCACACAGACCCTTTTCCGTACCAAGGAAATGGAATATATATGTGCGTTGTAAGTAATGGTATACCAGATACTAATGGAAATGTACCACAAAATTGGTCGACAAATGTCAAGTATGAAGGTAAGAATTGAATGAAAATACATTTTTATACAGGTTGTGCGTCCGAAGCTTTTTTCTGGATTTACCTTCACATTGAACGCTCTGACCTAAACATTTGAAAGCCAGGGATGTATAAATCCTTCGAAAAATTTCGAGCTAGTAATGAACAAAATGACATAAAACAAATGTCGAAATCCATTTAAGGTTAAATTTGTCTGAGGGAGTGGGAACCTTAATTTCGTTATAATTTCGTAATTTTGTTTTCACTTTAAACTATCAACCTAATTCAAGTAAATGTTTTTGACATTGCAAAATAATGTTAAAGGAGACAAACGAACTTTATATAAAGGTTAGTCAGTGAACTTATTCTATAAAAAATGTAGATGCAAATTTAGTAAATAGAACTATGTCAACAATTGTACATGTTAGTTTAATTTATATAAAAGCTTAAAATTCGAATGGGTTTATGAAAATTATGTTTTTCAATTATGTAAATAGGTCAATGGATAAGAAATACTGTACCAACTAGCACTGTTTTAAAGGAAATGACAGTTTTGTTTTAATTTTATAACGAAAAAAAGGTTTTGTCTGGAGTATCTTTTTTCTAATGATGCATAAATAGTCTTTTATAGACGGAACGGGCGTCTGGTGTACAAAATTGTAATCCTGGTATCAATGGTTAGTTTATTTACAACCACTGGGTCGATGCCACTGCTGGTGGAGGTGTCCTACCCGGTGGTATCAAGTCCAGTAGTCATCATTTCTGTGTAGACATTATCATTGATATGGTCATAATTATAAATTACTGTTTACAAAATGTTGAACTTTTCGAAAAACTAAGAATTTTCTACCCCAGACATAGTAGCTGTATTTATCAAAACCGATCGGAATATTTGGTCTTCAGTGCTCTTCAACTTCGTACTTGATTTGGCCTGTTTTACTTTTTTGACTCGAGCGTCACTTATAATTCTTTTTTAGACGAAACGCGCGTCTGGCTTACATAATGTTAATCCTGGTATCTGTGACGAGTTTATGTATGATTCTGTTGCAGTTCATAAGACTTACATACCTGGAAAAACTTCTCAATGGAAATCATAGTGAAAAACATCAAGCCAGCTTTTTAAATCAATTTCATAAGTTATCTTCTTACAATTACTCATTATTTTGTTCTTAATATGGACCTATATATATTCTTTCATAATGCTGTTTTATAAAAAAAGTAAAATAAAACCCAACCACCAAGCACATTTGAGTGCTATTGAATCGTCTTTAATTGACTATACAGCATAAATAAGAAAAAGTATTCAAGTTTATAGATTTGCACAAGTGATATAAGCAAAATAATTTTAAAATCACAAATGTTAACACATTTGAGTTCTCCTATTGTAAGGTCCACCTGTATTTGCAAAAGAAAACAGATATGTCAAGATTGGAAAAGTGGGACAGTCATCAATTAGGATGTCATTTCACGTCTACAGCTGCCCTGATGTTGAAGAAATATTCCTTGAAAAGTTAGGACGGATGCGTGGTAAGAAAAGAAAAATAAATAAATACTTTTTGAAATCTACATTGTTATATAATGAATTTGACAACAAAGCCGGAATTCCAGGTTATGATATTTTGATCGAAAGTGAGGAACGAGGTACAGATGATGTTCAAGCCTATTGCATCACAGTAAAGAACCGGCTTGGCGCAAGCGACTATCATTTTGAAATCATAAAGAAAGGTTAGTAGAAACTATATGAAAGTAGTATGGAAACGTTTGAGTTACTGATATTGTGTTTCTTATTTGCATTAAGTTGATAAAATACAAATGATAACTTGTATTCTATCTGGTCCCTATTACTTTTGGCATTTTAGCGGCTGCCATGATGACCTGGTTTATCTGTCACACGCACAATAAAACTGATAATCCAAAAATAAAATCCATTTACAGCTGATCGAGTTAAAATTGAGGATACAAGTTTATAAAGTATCCTTTGATTACAATCATATATATTGAACGATTCGTCTCCCTACGCATTAGGACTAAAACGATGTGGGGTTACAATGCTTTTAGTAATGTTAATTAAAAGGTTAATTACACAAATACTTGTTAGCGCATATCTTAACGTATGGCTGGGAAAGACGACGATCTATGCTGATACATGTATAAAGTGAAACTAAAAGTATCTTATAAATATTTGTTTACAAACGATCATGTCATTGTCTGACAATATAAAAATAATGCATTGAACGACTGCACTTGACCATTTGGTTTAGTATTTACATTTTACATGATGAACTTAATATGCATACCATAATAGTGTTAGAATTATATACATTTTAGAGGACCGTGTAATAAATCAAAGAAAGAGGACGTATTTTGTCCCAGTATGCATCCTAGGTGCGGTTCTATTTGGTTCGATCCTTGTTCATGTCGGTTGCTGTTTAAATCTTATAAGGCCTAGGGTTCAAATACATGACAATGTGCATGAAGATCGCACTCATCATACATATGATGAAATCAGGACAATCTCGTACGGTGCAGTCAGCAACATACGTTCTTCAGACACAAACGACACTCAAGGCCATGGAGCTCATATCTCAAATGAAACCATTGTGCCATTAACCGATGGTAGTTCGAATGAATTGAATGCTGACTTTCATAATGATGATTTACCACAACGTGAGGTTACTGACGTGCAAGGACAACATAGGCCTATTTCTATGATCGAAACGAACATTATAAATAAAGAACAATCAAGTGACCAAAATAGTCAAACTAGTAATGAATCTGAAAGTGAAACATCAAATAATGTCATGGTAGGCAACGTTGGTGATGGATATGAAAACCCTTATGAGACTGTAACACAAGATCGTTTAGAGAGTCATCAGTACATTCAGATCACAAGAGAAAGGAACACCAGCCTCTCATCTGCTGAATCAAATTGTGAAGAGCAAATAACTGAAAAGAGTTTGACAAAGGAAGCGGGATACATCAATCTGCAATTATAATTTTCAATTAAATTGGAACACGAATTTCGGATTTTTAGTGCAGACAGTTTTATACAAGCAATCAGATTGTTTAAAACTTAAAATTTTTGAAATGCAATGATCGTTCATATGGTTTAATTCAGTAGTGAGTACCTTGAACCGGTTTTATATATGTTTATCTTACCAACATTATGGAGTTAAGAATACAATATTTTTTTTTGTTCTGATTTTTATCGGCATTTTATCGTAACAGCTTTTGTCTATCAACTGATTAAATCATTCGGTAGTCAACTTGTTAGGTAATTATGTCTCTTCTTGAAAAAAAAAAGACTTGAAGTTAAGAAATGTCAAGTGACTAAACGAAAACTGTCCTGTAGTAAAACATTAAATTCAATGAACTCATGTGCTTAAATTAAGGTTATAAGATGATAAAATTGTCAATATGGTTATCAGTAATTGTAATTGACAATATTATTTCTCATCAAGGGATCATAACATCGATAAAAAAACAACCCACATACAATCTTAGTTCTATCATTTGTTTTACCAGTGGACCTACATCATCCTTCTGTTTGCCTTAGACGTAATAGAAGCTTTTTTTTTTAGACCGACATACTGAGCCAGATTTGTAACGAGCTAGTTCACAAGGAAACAGTCCACAGGAAGACATGTCACCCTACCCAGACACATAATTCTGATTCCGAGCCGATCATTCTTTGGTCTTACTCCTTAATGCCGCATGCTTAGTAGAGAAGCAGCAAATACTGATTCTGTGAAAAGGCTCGGACGTGGTTCTAACCCTTGATCTCCTGCACTCAAGGCGAAATAGCTTCCACGCGACCTTTAAGGCGGTTAGGATGTTGAGGAGAATTAGCTAGTCTACCTATTTAATACATTGTTTTGATTAAATATAGTAAAATTGCGGTGCCATATAGATAAAACTATTGACAGGATAAACTCTTTTGTACTTGAAGCATTACATATGTCTACAACAATGACAAAAGAAAATAAAGACTTTTTGATGTGTGAACAAAATATTTAGATATTTGAATATGAAATTTCTATTTAAAAATCAAGCAAAGTTCAAAATCAATAATATTAGCAATAAAAAAAATGTAATATACGTCCTAAATGTGTTAAAGGGGCATTAGCTTCGATTTATTTTTGGTCAATCATAAATGAAAGTGAAATAGTGAATAAATCGCTTTTAGCAGCCAGTTTGGTTCCATATTGTCAAAATAAGCTAAACAACATTGCTGGTGAATTATTAACTTGCAAGTACATAATTCGACCTCATTGCATCCGTATTCATGTGACCTTCAATTTAACCCCTTGGATATAGATGGGTTACGCATAAACTAGGCGTGTTTAGCTTTTAAAAGGAAAAGAATGTCAACATTGAAAGTTAAAGAAGGGTAAACCATTTGGTTGACTGATTCTATCCACAAAAACTCATTTTTATACAGGTAAAAACGATAGTTAAAATATTTTTGTTAACCTATAGTATGAAATTAAACAGACCTAGAAAAATGCAATCGCACGTGTTCGCTATCAATTTATATCTATGTTTATGTTTATATCGGTTATATGACCGTCGGCGGTCGTCGGAGGTCTCTTGGATCGTTAATTAGATGGCGTCTAGACTAAAATACACACGAAATGGTGATACATATTATCTCGTCCATGAACCGTAAATTGTTTTAGACTTTCTATAATTTGGATATACGTTTTAGTATGTTATAAATCAAATATGAGAATGATGAACATTGATTTATGAGCTAATGCCCCTTCAACATATTGACAAATGTTTTTTTCAGTGACAAAATAAGTCTTTGTTCTGTGGATAAAAATACAAAACATTTTTAATTAACTTTGTGCTTGACCCTTAGTCCTCGTTGGTAATAGGGAACTGAGGCAGTTATTTACAAATAACGAATACATGATTTACCACTTGCAATTGAAAAGTGTAGATACTTGGTCCAAGAAGCCAAAGACATCATCATGTAAAATATGTAAAACAGATCTTAGCTTATTTGAATTGTATAAAAGGAGATCAGCAATATGGGAAACAATATGACAAAATACCAAGCAAAGTTCAGAATAATAATATACACTTAGATAGTTGTCTTGATGTCTTTGATGGATGGTTGTCTCATACTACATCTTTTTAACTAGCATGATATATCATGATCGCAGTGTTACTGTTGATAGTTAAATAACATTGTTATAAATACAACTTATAATTTTGTATATTATTGTATGTTTATATTTTGTTTCCTTTGGTCATTAAGTTGTCATTTCCTTCTAAATTATCATTGTTAATCAAATATTTTTATTTTGTTAAATATATCTGTTTTGTTTTGTCATAAACAATCACTATGCACAGCAATGGGTGCCATAACTAACTTAAAATAATATCTTGTATCATGTATCTTGTACCTTTGATAAACCAGCTGAATAAATATTTAAAAAGTGTTAAGATTAGTTGAATAGTTTCAGTAAGGATAAGTACGCTTTAACATTTTTTTTTCATGTTGTCAAGTTTTGTTTTCAAATAAGTGGTTTTCGGTAAAAACTATTTATGATTTCGTCTAAGAAATATGTGTTTTTCGATTGACATATCAATATCATAAAATCAAAGTCAAACAGTATACTTTTGGAGTTTGGCATTTATGTTATATCATTTTATGGGAAGAGCTTAACTTAAAATATGATACACATTTAAATGTTTTATACAACTGGATATAGTATTAACAAAGCATTATCAAATTGTGTTCCAATTTCATTCAGACATTTTGATTAGATGTTTCATCAGTAACAAAGCATTTCGCTGTTTGCTGTCAACTATAGCAACTCTTTCCATTCTTTTTGTAAATATATTGATGGTAAAATCCTGTCGGTTGACTCACATAAACTAGAAAAACAATTACCTGTACTTTTTGATTTGATAGATAGAAAAAAGTATCATTACAATAGATTTTCAATCATTTCAAAGTTTTACAATAATAAAATGAATCTAGAAATCGAATATCATAGTTTCCGATTCCTTTACATACTTCCCTTAAACTCTTTAATAGAGGAAGTTTGCAATATATATCTATATTGTTTATTTTTGTTCAAATTACAAGTATGTCCGCAATACCGAATCAATATAGTAGGTCTTTGTAACTATGGTGAAGTCTCATTTTGTTTGATAAAGTTTATATTGTCTGAATATAACATTCGTCATTGATATCAATAATAAACTGTTAACACAGAGGTATGTCTCGCCTGTTGTAATTTTGATAATGTAAATGTTGATATTAAAATAGCAATACTTTAACATGTAAATTATGCAAATATTCGAAGTCAATGAACCATTACTGAGATACATTGCTAAACAGTCTCCATGGAAATGAGATGTGTCAATGCTAATACAACTGCATACTAAATACCATTGACTTTTTATAAGTCCCCTTTAAACAAACCTGAACACAAACATTGACTTGTAAACTATGTAAAAGTTTCAAAGTCAATAAACCATGGTAAGGGGGTGGGGCTATATAATCTCCATGGAAAAAAGTAAAATCACAAAAATACTGAACTCCGAGGAAAATTCAAAAAGGAAAGTCCCCAATCAAATGGCAAAATAAAAAAACAACAAACACATCTGGAAACGGACTTGCAAATGAAAATAAATTTGCATACCAAATATCATTGACTTAACATTAGTGGTTCATCTTAAACTGATCTAATCACAAACTAAAAAATGTAAACTAAGCAAAAGTTTCAAAGTCAATAGACCATGACTGAGGGGGCGGGGTCAAATATCCTCCATGGAAATGAGGTTTTCTAATGCTTATACAACTGCATACCAATTAACATTGACCTACCACTAATAGTTCCCCTTGAACTGATCTAATCACAAACAAATACATGTAAACTAAGCAAAAGTTTCAGGTCAATACACCATGACTGAAAAGGCGGAGCCGAATAATCTCCATGGAAATGATATATGCCAATGCTTATACAACTGCATACCAAATATCATTGACCTACCACTAGTGGTCCCCCATAAAATGACCTAATCACAAACTAATACATGTAAAATAAACAAAGTTTCAAAGCCAATAGACCATGACTGAGGGAGCAGGGCCAAATAATCTTTATGATAATGAGATGTGCCAATGCTAATACAACTGCATACCAAATATCATTGACATACTACTAGTGGTTCACCATAAACTAGATTTAAGCACAAACTAATACATTGTTGACGCCGCCGCCGCCGACACCGGCAACAGCATACCTATGTTTCGCTTTTTGACTCCGTCAAGGCAAAACAAAAACATATCAACGAAATCCAAGGTAAATTCAAAAAGGGGAAGTTTATAAAAAGTGGCAAAATCAAACTTTATCAACCAACGGACTGGAAAACAACTGTCATATGCCGTACTTGGTATATGCATTTTTCGAAAAGAAAAAAGAAAGATGGGTTGCACCTGGTTCAACTCGAATAAAACTAGAATGTAATGTTGTGTGCATTTGTGAATTAGCCCGAGAAGCTTTAATTCATTAGTTCCAATCAGTTTTGAGTTTAGCAATTCATATTATACGTATAGAAAATGTAACCAGGAAGTTACGTCCACTATAACAATAAAAAAATCCACATTGTACGATTTATAGGCAACAACCAATTATTGTATTTGTACGTCGGAAGAGGGAATCGTGTTGGTGTAAATAAATGACTGGACATCACGATGAAATAATCAGCCAATAACTTTAGAGGATGCACTGGCACTTTGATTACATTTCCCCAAAAAACATGTATAAACGCAATTGGATCAACTACTTTCCTATACGTGTATAGTAATGATTAAAGGTTTATCAAATATGTTATAATATATTTTATTATAAAACAATGAAACTATACTGTTTTGTAACGTTGATGAATGTTTACAATTAGGTCAGTGCATAAAATTTAAAACAGGTCATCAAACAACGCCATGGCCAAAAAAAAAAAAAAGACAAACAGACAAATAATAGTACAGATGACACAACATAGAAAACTAAAGACTAGGCAACACGAACCCCACCAAAATCTGGGGGTGATCTCAGGTGCTCCGGAAGGGTAAGCATATCCTGCTCCACATGTGGCACCCGTCGTGTTGCTTATGTTATAAAAATCCGGTAAATAGTCTAATTCGGTAGGTCACATTCGTGAAAAAGGAAGGGTATTGTAGTTACGACATAAGGAACATATCCGATATCATCTGTGAAACGGTTATTCCATAACGGTCAACCAACTCGTGATGGCGTCCGTAAAATTTACGAAGGTATACCTGAGACAGTCAAAAAATTAAAATTAAAAAATATTTACTAAAATCAACGGCGAAAAAACATTTTAAGTCATCAGGGTTTTGTATAAACGTTATTATAGACTATAAATGAATGGGAAAATACTTCTTTGGATGTAGGGACACACGAGATTCTTACAGGTAGAGTATTAATATTATAAACATTTGTTAGTGGATATAAATAAGAAATGAGAGGGATTCCAATCATACACATAAACAAATTGCTATCTACATATGAATTATTGTTACTTTAGATAAATCAACACTTTTTTAAATGTTCTATATGTCTCGCATGTTCCTCTCAGTGTTTTGTCCGATAAGATTGATAAGTATAAACATGCATGTGTGTTTGCTATTGTCACACAGTTACTGCGGCTAAGTTGTATTTCAAAATAAATTTCTAAAAGTATTTATTATTGAAATAGTTTCATTTGCTTTAATGCACTAACTAACAATAGTTTATGAAAGTTGAAAGAATAAACGATTGATAAATGTAAAAAAAATCTAATTATTCCTTCCCCTGATACGGATGGGTGTCTGAAATGTACTTGGAACTGTGGATGTTCGTTTGTCGTGAAATTATTTATACAAATGAACCTAGTGCGTTTGTATATAATAACTGTTGTTTGTCATGATTGTAACTTCTTTTCATTTAAAGTACACAAATCACACAATATACTGCTTAGTATGTTAATGACATGTGTTTGTGTTTGCTCTCTTTCCCTTTTTATTGTTTATTTTAGTGTGCTCTGTCCTTTTCCTACTTTTTTGGAGGGTGAATAGGGACTTCACTTGATACTAGTGCAACTTTATTTCATTTATCTAAATGTTTATCAAAAACATGTTACTTGATTTCAATTGGATTCCGATGGGAAAAATGGTGTGTGATCTGTGATCCTCTTCTTGCCGACTTATTCCTTTGATATACGTATCTGACAACATTTAGGAACTTTGTAGGACGAATTAAAAGAAGCTAGCAGTATCATTTCACTATATAGATGATATCGTCTCACAAAAAAGATCAAATTTGAACGTATCTATCCCATCGAACTTGAAATAAAGGACACAACAGTTAATTATGCATCATATCTTGACTTACATCTAGGAATTGACAATAAATTTACTACAAAGTAGATGATTTCAGCTTCAAAATTGTGAACTTTCCATTTCTATGTGGCAACATTCCAGTAGCATCTGCATATGTCGTATATTTCTCCAAGTTGACACGATATTCCAGAGCTTGCCTTTCCTATCATGATTTCCTTGATAGAGGGTTGCTTCTTACAAATCAGCTATTAAACCAGAAGTTTCAGGTGGTGAAGTTGAAATCATCCCATAGAAAATTTTACGGACATCATCACAAGTTGTTTTACCGCTATTGAATATCTGGTTCATAGATAACGACGGATATGCTTCAATTATTACTACGAGCAACAAGATGAATGCCATTAGTGGAGCAAGATCTCTACATGAGATCACACCCCGTTTTGGTGGGGTTCGTGTTGCTCGGTTTTTTTTATTCAGTAATTTAATTTTTTTTGTTTCTTTTCTTTGTCATGCCGTTGTCAGTTCATCCTGATTTGTAAGTTTCGAATTCCCGTGGTATCTCCTGATTTTGTCTTGTATTCAATCATCACGAAGTCCTCGTTAAACCTTAGAACTCAATCAACCTATAATGGTCTTGCTCCTGTGATAGTTTTTGTTTTCCCCTTATTCTCTAGTACATTAGAGTATTGTAGATGTGCCCTCAATGACGGTGCTATTCAACACAATTTCCATTTGTTCTTTTTTGATTGATGAGCAAATAATGTACAAAAAATTTGCACGTATGAATCTGAAAGTATTGAAGCCTACAATTTAAACGCCAAAATTTCTTTACCTTAGTACATGTAGTAAGG